GTGATTGTTCTTCCACAAAAGAACTTCATTCTCATTCTCACCTTTGAACGATGGCACCTTCATGTGCAGCTCAAACATGGATTGTGTCTCACTTTTCAGTTTCCAGTTCTGCGTGATTGTTCTTCCACAAAAGAACTTCATTCTCATTCTCACCTTTGAACGATGGCACCTTCATGTGCAGCTCAAACATGGATTGTGTCTCACTTTTCAGTTTCCAGTTCTGCGTGATTGTTCTTCCACAAAAGAACTTCATTCTCATTCTCACCTTTGAACGATGGCACCTTCATGTGCAGCTCAAACATGGATTGTGTCTCACTTTTCAGTTTCCAGTTCTGCGTGATTGTTCTTCCACAAAAGAACTTCATTCTCATTCTCACCTTTGAACGATGGCACCTTCATGTGCAGCTCAAACATGGATTGTGTCTCACTTTTCAGTTTCCAGTTCTGCGTGATTGTTCTTCCACAAAAGAACTTCATTCTCATTCTCACCTTTGAACGATGGCACCTTCATGTGCAGCTCAAACATGGATTGTGTCTCACTTTTCAGTTTCCAGTTCTGCGTGATTGTTCTTCCACAAAAGAACTTCATTCTCATTCTCACCTTTGAACGATGGCACCTTCATGTGCAGCTCAAACATGGATTGTGTCTCACTTTTCAGTTTCCAGTTCTGCGTGATTGTTCTTCCACAAAAGAACTTCATTCTCATTCTCACCTTTGAACGATGGCACCTTCATGTGCAGCTCAAACATGGATTGTGTCTCACTTTTCAGTTTCCAGTTCTGCGTGATTGTTCTTCCACAAAAGAACTTCATTCTCATTCTCACCTTTGAACGATGGCACCTTCATGTGCAGCTCAAACATGGATTGTGTCTCACTTTTCAGTTTCCAGTTCTGCGTGATTGTTCTTCCACAAAAGAACTTCATTCTCATTCTCACCTTTGAACGATGGCACCTTCATGTGCAGCTCAAACATGGATTGTGTCTCACTTTTCAGTTTCCAGTTCTGCGTGATTGTTCTTCCACAAAAGAACTTCATTCTCATTCTCACCTTTGAACGATGGCACCTTCATGTGCAGCTCAAACATGGATTGTGTCTCACTTTTCAGTTTCCAGTTCTGCGTGATTGTTCTTCCACAAAAGAACTTCATTCTCATTCTCACCTTTGAACGATGGCACCTTCATGTGCAGCTCAAACATGGATTGTGTCTCACTTTTCAGTTTCCAGTTCTGCGTGATTGTTCTTCCACAAAAGAACTTCATTCTCATTCTCACCTTTGAACGATGGCACCTTCATGTGCAGCTCAAACATGGATTGTGTCTCACTTTTCAGTTTCCAGTTCTGCGTGATTGTTCTTCCACAAAAGAACTTCATTCTCATTCTCACCTTTGAACGATGGCACCTTCATGTGCAGCTCAAACATGGATTGTGTCTCACTTTTCAGTTTCCAGTTCTGCGTGATTGTTCTTCCACAAAAGAACTTCATTCTCATTCTCACCTTTGAACGATGGCACCTTCATGTGCAGCTCAAACATGGATTGTGTCTCACTTTTCAGTTTCCAGTTCTGCGTGATTGTTCTTCCACAAAAGAACTTCATTCTCATTCTCACCTTTGAACGATGGCACCTTCATGTGCAGCTCAAACATGGATTGTGTCTCACTTTTCAGTTTCCAGTTCTGCGTGATTGTTCTTCCACAAAAGAACTTCATTCTCATTCTCACCTTTGAACGATGGCACCTTCATGTGCAGCTCAAACATGGATTGTGTCTCACTTTTCAGTTTCCAGTTCTGCGTGATTGTTCTTCCACAAAAGAACTTCATTCTCATTCTCACCTTTGAACGATGGCACCTTCATGTGCAGCTCAAACATGGATTGTGTCTCACTTTTCAGTTTCCAGTTCTGCGTGATTGTTCTTCCACAAAAGAACTTCATTCTCATTCTCACCTTTGAACGATGGCACCTTCATGTGCAGCTCAAACATGGATTGTGTCTCACTTTTCAGTTTCCAGTTCTGCGTGATTGTTCTTCCACAAAAGAACTTCATTCTCATTCTCACCTTTGAACGATGGCACCTTCATGTGCAGCTCAAACATGGATTGTGTCTCACTTTTCAGTTTCCAGTTCTGCGTGATTGTTCTTCCACAAAAGAACTTCATTCTCATTCTCACCTTTGAACGATGGCACCTTCATGTGCAGCTCAAACATGGATTGTGTCTCACTTTTCAGTTTCCAGTTCTGCGTGATTGTTCTTCCACAAAAGAACTTCATTCTCATTCTCACCTTTGAACGATGGCACCTTCATGTGCAGCTCAAACATGGATTGTGTCTCACTTTTCAGTTTCCAGTTCTGCGTGATTGTTCTTCCACAAAAGAACTTCATTCTCATTCTCACCTTTGAACGATGGCACCTTCATGTGCAGCTCAAACATGGATTGTGTCTCACTTTTCAGTTTCCAGTTCTGCGTGATTGTTCTTCCACAAAAGAACTTCATTCTCATTCTCACCTTTGAACGATGGCACCTTCATGTGCAGCTCAAACATGGATTGTGTCTCACTTTTCAGTTTCCAGTTCTGCGTGATTGTTCTTCCACAAAAGAACTTCATTCTCATTCTCACCTTTGAACGATGGCACCTTCATGTGCAGCTCAAACATGGATTGTGTCTCACTTTTCAGTTTCCAGTTCTGCGTGATTGTTCTTCCACAAAAGAACTTCATTCTCATTCTCACCTTTGAACGATGGCACCTTCATGTGCAGCTCAAACATGGGCTCTCCGTCTCTCACACTCCCCCCCTCCCCCACCTTGCCATCCTCCCTCCCTCCTCTCCCTCCTCTCCCTCCTCCCCTCCCCCCATCACACACGGTCACCTGCAGGAACCCCCCCTCTCTGCTTCCTCCCACCCCCTGTGCCCGCCCCTTTCCCCAGGAATTGACGAATCTAGAAAGCAGTTGCAGAGGAGCCTTGGCAGGTGCATGAGAAGAGGAGGAAGAGGAAGAGGAGGAGGATGGGGAGGAGGAGGATGAGGCACTTGGATCGTTCAGTGGAGGGGTGGAGGGAGAGGAGGGAATGGAGTTGAGAGGAGCGGTGTGTGTGGCGGACTGAGGCGATGGCAGCAGCTTCTGCATGTCATATCACAACACATGGGCAAACGGTGGGGCACGAGGAGCAGCTTTTAGAATTCTCAAAACGAGGGAATGGAGTTGAGAGGAGTGGCATGTGCGACGGACTGTGGTAATGGCGTAAGCTTCTGCACGCCATAGCACAACACAATGGCCAAACGGTGGGGCATGGGGAGCAGCAGGGTGGGACATAGGCAAGGTGGGGCATGAGAAGGGTGTGGCCACGGCATGATGGGGTATTCCGGAATATAGTCCTATGGGGAGATGGCATCGCATGTAACTGTGGAGATTTGTGTGTGAACGTGGGAGCAGAGCAGGTGAGTGGGCGTGTATGCGCCCGTGTGTGTGTGTGCGTGCGCACGTGAGTTTGAGCGGGCGTGTGTACGAGCATGCGCGTGTCTAGATGTGTTAACATCCATCCACACCACACCACCCATGTCGGTGTTGCTTTTGAGAGCTCTCAAAAGCTATGTTTGTTGGTGTTGCTTAGCAGATTTCTCAAAAGCAACACCAACATAGCGTGTGTACGAGCATACCCGTGTGTTGTGTAGATGTGTTGAAATCAAATCAATCCACACCACACCCAGGCAGTACCTTGTTGAACGAGACATAATCCACGTGAAATGAGAAGAGCTTTAAGTTGACTCAAAAACTCGTGTGTATGAGCATGCACATGTGTAGTGTAGATGTGTTGAAATCAAATCAATCCACAACACACCACCCAGGCAGTACCTTGTTGAACGAGACGAAGCGACTTGGCAGCCCAACCTCCTGCAAATGGAATCGAGGGCGAAGGGAGTGGGAGGCAAATTGAGTGGAGGGAGGGCAGAAAAACCACAGCCAAAAAAAAAGGGGGAGGGGGGGGGGAGTGTGGAAATGCCACACTGAAGCCAAAGCAGAAAAAAAAAAGAGGGGGAATCCATGTTTCTGGTGACCATTATTGTTGAAACGATCACAGGCATCACAAACACTCTGTATGATCCCTCCCACACACCTTGATACCGTGATCTCTGGCTGAGGCACTATCCACCATCACTGCTGCCGCCCACCTGTTGCAATTAAGCCGTGCAAATGGACAAAGAAGGATGGTGCGATGGGAGGTGTTTGAGGGATGGGAGAATGGGAGCAAGGTGCGGGAAGGAGGAGGCGGAAGGGAGGGGGGAGGAGGGGGGGGGGGGGGGGTACTAAGAGGGGAAGGGTGTGTGGATACAGCATATCATAGCACGACAAGGGACAGAAGGAAGGAAACGCGAGGTTGTGGCTACAGGGTCGCAGGGTTACAGGGTAACAGAGAGGCACAGGGTTGCAGGGTCACAGAGTGACAAGGTAACAGAGGTACAACGTAGCAGAAGGAGGAGGAAGGAAGGGTGGTTGCAGGGTCACAGAGTGACAAGATAACAGAGGTACAACGTAGCACAAGTTTTAAAGGATTACAGGGCAGTGGACTCACGCGCACAGTGAGGTGTATTTTGAGGCGCCTCAAGATAACAGAGGTACAACGTAGCACAAGTTTTGAAAGATTACAGGGCAGTGGACTCACGCGCATAGTGAGGTGTATTTTGAGGCGCCTCAAGATAACAGAGGTACAACGTAGCACAAGTTTTGAACGATTACAGGGCAGTGGACTCATGCGCATAGTGAGGTGTATTTTGAGGCGCCTCAAGATAACAGAGGTACAACGTAGCACAAGTTTTGAACGATTACAGGGCAGTGGACTCACGCGCATAGTGAGGTGTATTTTGAGGCGCCTCAAGATAACAGAGGTACAACGTAGCACAAGTTTTGAACGATTACAGGGCAGTGGACTCACGCGCATAGTGAGGTGTATTTTGAGGCGCCTCAAGATAACAGAGGTACAACGTAGCACAAGTTTTAAAGGATTACAGGGCAGTGGACTCACGCGCACGAGGCAGGCGGGTCCCACACGATGCCGGGGATGATGACGAGCTGAGGGGGGGATGGGGATGGGGATGGGGATGGGGACAGGCGGAGAGGGGAGAGGATTGTCGGGTTACAAGGTTACAAGTCAGCAGATTCACGAGGCGGGCGGGCTCCACACAATGCCAGGGATGATGACGAGATGAAGGCGGGGGGATGGGGATGGGGACGGGCAGAGAGGGGAGAGGGAGAACCGGAGGGGGGAGAGGGACGAAGGGAGGGAGTGGCACAAGTCAGTGGATTCACGCAGAAAGGCGGGTCCAACACGATGCCGAGAATGATGGCGAGCTGAGGGGGATGGGGACGGGAGGAGAGGGCTTTTGAGTCGACTCAAAATGACTTTTGAGTCGACTCAAAAGGAAGGCGGGTCCAACACGATGCCGGGCATGATGGCGAGCTGAGGGGGATGGGGACGGGAGGAGAGGGGGGGAGTGGGACGGGCGACTTTTGAGGCGCTTCATTTTTTTCAAAATGAGAGGGGGGAGTGGAACGGGCGGACAGGGAGTGGGACGGGCGGACAGGGAGTGGGACGGGCGGACAGGGAGTGGGATGGGCGGACAGGGAGTGGGACGGGCGGGGAGTGGGACGGGCGGACAGGGAGTGGGACGGGCGGGGAGTGGGACGGGCGGACGGGGAGTGGGACGGGCGGACGGGGAGTGGGATGGGCGGAGGGAGAGTGGGATGGACGGAGGGGGGAGCGGAAAGGAAGGGCAGGCGAGAGGGAAGGGAGGACAGGGGGGAGGTAAAGTGAGGAGAGAGGAGAAGGAAAGAGTGGGTTGGGGGAAAGGGGCAGGAGACTAGGCTTGGAGGACAGAACACAAATGGAAAGGTGGTGAATGGGGCGGGGGGGGGGGGGAGAGAGATGACTTGGGGGCAAGGGAGGGTTGACTTGGGGGCAAGGGAGGGTTGACGTGAGGGCAAGGGAGGGTTGACGTGAGGGCAAGGGGGGGTTGACTTGGGGGCAAGGGAGGGTTGACTTGGGGGCAAGGGAGGGTTGACGTGAGGGCAAGGGAGGGTTGACGTGAGGGCAAGGGAGGGTTGACTTGGGGGCAAGGGAGGGTTGACGTGAGGGCAAGGGAGGGTTGACGTGAGGGCAAGGGAGGGTTGACTTGAGGGCAAGGGAGGGTTGACTTGAGGGCAAGGGAGGGTTGACTTGAGGGCAAGGGAGGGTTGACTTGGGGGCAAGGGAGGGTTGACTTGGGGGCAAGGGAGGGTTGACTTGGGGGCAAGGGAGGGTTGACTTAGGATACTAAGGGAGCCAAATCGTTGCATAAGACTGCCATCCACTAAGGGTCCCTAAATCAACAACTACCAACCAACACAGCAAAATCGACGCCATCCACTTTCAAACGCTTTCCCAATGCCATGCCTTCCCAAGCCCAGCCAACTCCTGTCCAATGCCAAACGCACCTATCCTACTTCCAACAAATTGATCGAGCATTCCCCAGTCGTACCTCGTCAAACTTCCCCGCGGGACTCGAGTCATACTGCGCATAGTAGACCCCGCCCAGGGTGTACCTGAGGGGTGATGATGGGGTGTACGAGGGGTGTGAGTGGGTGCTGTTCGGTACAGAGGAACGAGTCATACTGCGCATAGTAGACCCCGCCCAGGGTGTACCTGAGGGGTGATGATGGGGTGTACGAGGGGTGTGAGTGGGTGCTGTTCGGTACAGAGGAACGAGTCATACTGCGCATAGTAGACCCCGCCCAGGGTGTACCTGAGGGGTGGTGGGGGCGTGAGAGGAGGGGAAGAGGACGCGAGGCGGGAAGTAGTGAGACGGGGGACAGTGAGGCGGAAGGAGTGAGGCGTGGGGAGTGAGGCAGGGGGGTTGAGGCAGGGGGGAATGAGGTGGGGGGAGTGAGGCGGGGGGAATGAGGTGGGGGGAGTGAGGCGGGGGGAGTGAGGCGGGGGGAGTGAGGCGTGGGGAGTGAGGCGGGGGGAGTGAGGCAGGGGGGAAGTCTACGCACACCCTAGTAGTGCAAGCACTTGCCATCCCCGATCTCGGAATACCCAGACGAAGCTCCAAAGACGGGGGCTTCGCTCAAAGCCAAAGCCCACCCGTGTATCACAGACGGGAGTGCGAGACCTCGTTCAAGCCTTGGAGCACTCCCATCTGTGATGGATACTGACGAATGTGGAGCGATTGTAATGACAGACAATATTTGCTCATCCCACTCAACAATTCATGAGCACCGTTCTACTACCCAAAGCAACGCTCTGCGACCCAGAGAACCACGCTAGGACCACAAGCACCACTCAAAGACCCAGAGCACCACTCTAAGACCCAAATCACCGCTCTAAAACCTACAGCACCCACCCGAAGGCTTCGACGAGCTTGAGCTCCGGCGGAACGATGCGGCGTGCCACGTCAGCCTTGACCAGGTTCAGTTGATACAGCGCCCTGAGAGTGACAATAGCGGGAGTAATTGACGACGGATATTGCGCCTCGAGTGTGACAATAGTGGGGAGCGGGGGGGGGAGGAGGGGGAGGGGGGGAGGGGGGGGCCTGCATGGAGAAATTACGATAAGTCGTTTCGTGCGAGAAGCTTCTCGATTCTTCCTCGTGTGAAAATGCGAACCAAACGAGCAGACCTACGTTGACGAGCCACAGAAGCCAAGTGAGGTTCCGCGAACCACGAGCCAAAGCCAAGTGAGATTACGCTCAAATCACTTTCGAAAGTGATTCGCGGCGATCAGAAAGTCGGAAGGGACATGTTGGCTCCGTAGCGCAACCTTTCGCGGTTACGGGTCACTCAACCTTTAAGGAATGCACCCGAGCGACCAGCTCCGAGGAATGCTCCGCTGTGCCTCTATCACCATTCACTCCCCCCCACCTGCTCTCCTCCCTCCTTTTGCCTCCCCTCCAGCTACTCTCCGGTTACGGGTTACTCACCTTTAAGGAATGCACCCGAGTGACCAGCTCCGTTCGGTGGCGGACCGGCAGCTTAACCTTTACATTGAGGTCAATAACGATGTTTGACGTCATTTACTAACCTGCCTTTGAAAATCCAAGGCGGTCCGGCAGCGTAGCCGTCCTTCGGACGGCTGTGATTGATCGGACTGCTGCCATTGCTGACGTCACCTCCACCAGCCATTCCTTCGGCGCGCACACGTGGCTCACGTCAGCCGCGTTAAGGAGTGGGAATCGTACGGAGAATAAGAGCCCCGTGCTGCACGCAGCGGCGACGGATCGCAACGCGCCGCGAAGGAATCTATGGCGTCAGCTTTGGCGAATCAGGGAGGCAGTCAAAGCTGGGATGGGACCAGAATGTATAACAAAATAGTAGGCTAGAGTTCGTTTTCACTTACTGCCCTACTCAACAGTTGTAAAGTTTGATTCGACCGCTCTTTAACAAGACGAACCGTACTGAAACGCATTTCGTGTTTCTGTGGGAAGGGGAGTGTGTGTGTGTGTAGTGGTGTGTGCAGCCATCATCGTTCAGCTTTTCGCGCGAGTCGCGATAAATGTGTCGGTGGAAGGTCGTCGTCAATCGTGATTGGATGGACAAAATCTCAATCCTAATGTGTGTGGCCTTGGATCTCCGCGAAAAAAAAGGTTTTCGCGAAACCAGGGACGGACCAGTTTACAAAATTCATTTTACCGAAGTTAGGAAGTTAGACCATTATGAATCAACCAGGAAAAAAACAAACATTCCACACAGAAAAGTATTGTTTCATTTAGGACCAAGCACATCCCTCGCCTCCTCCACCACATATGGCTCCATGGCCTGCCAAAGCACCTGCACAGATAATCCACTGAACCTCATGGCATTATTCTTCCCCCCAGTTCCCTTCTTCCATGCACAATCTTCTACTCTCGCACCCACCGCCGCAACAACCAGTGCCGCCTCCTTGGCCGAATACCCCTCTGCTCCAAAAACCAGGCTATAACCACCACCCTTGTTATTTACGGATTTTTTCGCCTCTTCAGCCCTCGCCTCCACCCCCTCTCCCCCTCCCTCTCCCCCTACCTCTCTCCCTCCCTTGCCTCCATCCCCTCTAATAGCCCACCCATTATACATGAGCCACGTCGCCATGCCTCGGGGTGACAGCCACCGATGAATAAGACGAGGAACCGCCGCCTCTCTGCCGCCCCGTTTGCCAGCCACATCCTTCGCTAAGGGGCGAAACTGCCGGGCGTAGAACTGCAGAGACGGGTGCGCAATGGTGGCAAACGTCCGCACCCGAATGGTGCTGCCCCCACCTTCCCCATCCTCCGCCTCCTTCCCCACATCCCCCCCCTCACCTTCCCCAACTTCTCCCCCCTTTACAGTCACATCTACCGCTTCGCCTTCCCCAACTTCTCCCCTCGTTACAGTCACATCCACGGGCGGAGCAGCCACCCAGGGAAGGAACACCTCATACAGCCAGTCCAGCACCCGCATACGCCAATCCTCGCCGCCCGCTCCAATAGGCTGGGAGAATCGTATCGAGTACGACACGCCCCCGTCTGCACTCTCCACCTCTGCCCCTGCTAGCAGAGCCCCCACCAGCACCTGCCGCTGCTCCCTCGTCAGCCTTAGACCCATGGCCACATCCCCCTCCCCTGGTAAACCCTTCCCCCAGCCTCTCCCCATCCCACCCATGCCACCTCCCCCTTCCCCTCCTCTTCCTTCTCCTGCTGCTGCTGCTCCTCCAAAGAAGGCTGCTGCTGCTGCTGCTGCTCCCCCTCGGGCCGCCACAGCAGCAGCCCATGCTTCGTCCCTTCTCACTCGCTCCACCCCTAACAGCTGCTCCACTGCCTCCCTCACTCGCCCCTGCAGGCTGAACCTCCTCGCCCTCACCACCCCTCCTCCTCCCTTTTCCTCCTCACTCACCTCCGCCCCTCTCACTCTCACCTTTCCTCCCCCTCCGCTTCTACTGACAACCCCGAAAACCCCACCACTGCCTTCCTCCTCCTCACTCTCACTCTCCCCTCCACCCTCTACCTCCCATTCGCCCTCCTCTCCATCCGGAGCCTCCTCTCCCTCCACTCCTCCCCACCGCACCCCACCCCGCACACCCTCTCTCAGCATGTCCTCATAAACTCTCTCCACGCCCCCCACGTCCCCAGCCTCTGCAAGAGCAAGCAGCAGCAGGTCGTACGTGCGCTGGTTGGGAGGACTCAGCACAGGCAGCAGCCTTGGTACCGAGTTAAGAGGCAACAATCCCGAGTTTATTCCTGACTCTGCAGCCTCCTTCGCCCTTGCTGCTGCTACTGTCTCCTCCTCCTCTTCCTGCCCCCTTCTCTCTTCCTCCATATCCTCGTCATCGTATTCATCCTCCTCCTCCTCCTCCTCCTCCTCCTCCTCCTCCTCCTCCTCCTCCTCCTCCTCCTCCTCCTCTTCACTCTCCTCCTCTTCCTCCTCCTCTGCTTCCCAGTCATCATTCGCCCCCCTCCCCTCCCTCCTCATCCAACCATGCCTCTCCCACTTCTCATCACTCTCCTCCCACTCTCCTCTCCCCTCCCTCCCTCCCTTCCCCCCTCCTCGCACCCCTCTCTCTGCTACCCGTTTCCCTCCTCGCCCCATCCCCCTCCCTCCCCTCACCCGTCCCTCTCCCCCTCCTCTCACACCCTCTTCTCCCGCACCTCTCACACCCCCCTCTGCAGCGCCTCTCATCCCGCCATACAGCTCCCACGCGCCCTGCCAGTCACGTGCCAGCAGGTGCGTCTGCAGGCGCAGGTTGCACGCCTCAGTGCTGGCGGGGCATCCAAAGGCAGCCATTTCAGTGAACACACGCACTGCTGCATCCCTCGCTGCTGCTGCTGCTGCCGCCGATGGTGATGGTGCTGCTGCTGCTGCTGCTGCTGGTGGTGATGGTGGTGGTGATGGTGCCGATGGTGGTGCTGCTGCTGCTGCTGCTGCTGCTGCTGCTGCTGCTGCTGCTGCTGCTGCTGCTGCTGCTGCTGCTGCTGCTGCTGCTGCTGCTGCTGCTGCTGCTGCTGGTGATGCTGCTGATGGTGGTGTTGCTGCTGCTGCTGCTGGTGATGGTGGTGGTGATGGTGCCGATGGTGGTGGTGGTGCTGCTGCTGCTGCTGCTGCTGCTGCTGCTGATGCTGCTGATGGTGGTGTTGCTGCTGCTGCTGCTGCTGGTGATGGTGGTGGTGATGCTGCTGATGGTGCTGATGCTGCCAAATCTGGCGAACCAGCACCAACACCCATGCCCAGCCTCACATGCATCCTCAGCACCGCATTGAACCCCTTCGTTAGTGGCCTCATGCCCCATTCACCCATCTCCCTCACCACACCCTCTGCCGCATCCACCTCTCCTGCCCCACTCAACGCCTCCACATACACATTATACGCCCGCAGGCTCGGCCGAGCCTGCCACGCCGGTCCGGCGCCGGACCTGTCTGCCGAACCAGCAGGTTCGGCACCTCCAGCAGCGGAACCAGCAGTTACAGCAGCAGCGGCAGCAGCTTCGGCTGCTTCAACCACCTTTGGCCATACACTCACTGCTTCTCGGAATCTCTGCGCTTTACTAAGCACTTCCATTAAAGCCACTAGCACTTCCTGACTCGGCCGAAACCCGGCCTCTTCCACCTCCCTCACTCCCCTCGCTGCCCGCTCGGGCAGCCCGGTCAGCACCCCAAACACTTCCCTGCTGCCCGGGCCGAAATTTCCCTGCTGCCCGAGAGGTCCCTGCGAGTGGTACGCCCGAGCGCAGGCAATCACCGCGGCTTCTAGAGCAGGTGCCGGGATCGGGAGCTTAGCTAAGCGCATCTTAGCTAAAAGGGCATCGACTTTGTCAATATCTCCCAGGCATGCGAGCTGCTGTGCTAAGCGCGAGTGCATGAGGGGGGTGGTTGGGGCTCCTAGGGAGGATAGGTCTTTAAGTAGCTGCTCCAGCTTGCTGACGTGGCGGCCGCGGGCGGATGGGCGGCTGAACGCGTCATATAGCTCGTAGAGAAGCTTCGAGGAAGGTGGGGTAGAGGGGGAGGAGAGAGATGAGGTAGAGGAGGGAGATGAGGGATATGTGGGAGAGGGGGATGGGGAGTCTAAAGTGGGTTTGAATGTTGCTTCAGGCGTTTGTTCCTCTGCTGGTGGTGGTAGTGGTAGCACTGTTAGTGCGCTCCCTCCCAAGCCATGCATCATACCATACACCTCCCATGCACTCTCCTCCAACCTTACCATCTCCTCCCTCATCCTCCTCCCCATGCCTCTCGCCCCACTCCCCTCCCCCTCCTCCTCCCCCACTCCACCTTCCCCTCCCCTTCCCCTCCCCCCTGCCCTTCCCCCTCCCCGTTTCCCCCCGCTCTTCCCCCCGCGCCCCCCTCTGCTCCCCGCCCCTCCCTTCCCCCCTTCCCATTTCCACTCCTCTGCCCGTTTCGCGGCGAGGAGCAACGACCGGATTACCCCTTCAAAAGCGGGGCGAGATGGGGAAACGCCCTGGGGGAGCGCGGAGGAGAGGAGGGGGAGCATGTGGCGGATCTTCCCCTGGGCGGCCGCGGAGAGGAGGAGGGCGGAGAGGATGGGGGGGGAGGCGGAGGGGGAGAAGAAGGGCGCATGCAGCGCCCACTGGAAGACCTGTGGGGGGGAATGGGGGCAAGGGGGGGAAGAGGGGGAAGGGGGGAGTAGGGAAAAGAATGGGGGAGGGCAAGGGGATGGCTTATTGGAAAGGCGCATGGAACGCCACTGGAAGACTTGCGGGAGGAATGGGGGAAAGGGGGAAAGGGAGCAAGGGAAGCAAGAGGGACAAGGGGGAAAGCGGGGAGATGGAGGCAAAGGGGGGCAAGAGGGCAGTAGGGGGAGGATTGGGGGAAAGGCAGGGGACGGGGACCTAAAATTTCTGCTTTCTGTTTCATTCTTTAGAATTTTCTGGCTCATGTCACTATTTAGTCCCGCAAAGAAGCATCTGACCACTCACTCGAATCCCGTGCACCGCCTCCTTCCTCGCTATAAGGCTCTCCACTACAGCGATCAGGTCGCCCATATTCATCCACTGCTTCTGAGCGTTCAACAGCCGCACCAGCGCACTCGGCACCACCGCTGCCACCTCAAGCAAGGGGGTCCCAGCTAGTGGTTTATGATTTGAGATTTCCAGGGTTTAAGGTTTCTGTTTCCGATTCAGGTTTTAGGATTTGTGATGCATGCCGATGCCTAGCCATGCCTCCACTCACCCGTATCCCGCGAACCACCTCCTTCCTCGCTATAAGGCTCCCCACTACAGCGTTCAGGTCGTCCATGTTCATCCACTGCTTCTGAGCGTTCAGCAGCCGCACCAGCGCACTCGGCACCACCGCTGCCACCTCAAGCAAGGGGTCCCAGCTAGTGGTTTATGATTTGAGATTTCCGGGGTTGATTCCCCTGATCATCTCAAATCCAAAAACCTGAATCAGAAACAAGAGTTTAGGCTCGTGGTTTATGTTTCTGGTTCAGGTTTTAGGATTTGCGATTCATGCCGATGCCTAGCCATGCCTCCCACTCACCCGTATCCCGCGCACCACCTCCTTCCTCATTATAAGGCTCTCCACTACAGCGTTCAGGTCGTCCATGCGCATCCACTGCTTCTGAGTGTTCAGCAGCCGCACCAGCGCACTCGGCACCACCGCTGCCACCTCCCGCGCAAGCCACCCCACCTTCCGCCTCCGCCACTCCTCCCCGCCCGCCTCCCCCTCAATCCCCCCCAAACCCCCGCCTGAACTCCCCCTTAAACCCTCCTTGACACTCTCCTTTAAACCCCGCCGCAGCTCCCCACGCAAGCTCCTCGCACCCGTTTCCAAGGCTGTGCTATCAGCGGAAGCAAAGCCCTCGGCAGCAAAACCCTTGTCTTCAAAACCCTTGACTTCAGAACTCGTGTCTGCAGCTGCCCGTAGCAAAGGCTTCTCCTCCTCCGACTCATCCTCCCCCTCCTCCACCCCTCCCCAAAACCCCTCATCCCCTTCGACTCCTACCCCTACTTCTCCTTCTTCCCTTTCTTCGTCCTCACCTTCCCCGTCTGGCCCATCTTCCCCCCACAAACCCCACTCGTCAACATCCGGCTGCTCTGGCTGGTAGAATCCATACGTATTCGGAGAGAAACTAGGCTGGATCTCTTTCCTCGAATCTTCGTCGCCGTCGGCCCACGAGCCCCGTGCACCCTCTGTGCCCCGTGCGCCCTGTGTGCTTCGTGGGCTCCACTGCCTCTTCGTCGACTGCGAGTCTGAGTCTGCTACGGCGCTCCCCGCTGCTCCTCTCCACGCCTCTCCCGCACTTCCCCTCTCTCCCCTCCCGCTCCCCCTTGCTTCCCCGCTCCTCCCGCCTAGTCCCCACCGCCCGCCTCGCGCTCCCCGCCGGCCTTCTCCTCCGCCCCAGGCTCCCCCCCGCCTCCTGCCCCCCGCGAAAACCCTCCCCGCGGGCCTACCTTCCTCAGACTCCCTGCGTCGTTCCCCGCCCCATGCTTCCCCGCGCCCGCCTCTTCCCCCTGCCCATCCCCCCTCCCGCCCTCGCCCACGCCCAGGCGCCCTCCCCGCAGGTCTACGCTCCCCGTCACTCCCGCCGGAATTGTACCGATCTCGGCCGTACGATCGCCCTTCGTACGCGTCTTTTGACCCGTACGGCCTGCTTCCGTACGGCGCGGCATTGCCACGCTGACTGACACCGCCTCGCCCCCGCCGATCGTACGCCGGAGACTGAAACGTCTCTAAAGACGTACGGCCTGACTGAGACGTACCTAATCCCCTCCGAACGCGATCCGGCACGTCTAAAAGCGTCCGCGGCGGCTTGTCGTCATCCGATCGCCATCCTCCGTTATAAGCACGCTCACTACTGGTACCAGACCAACGGGGTCCGGAATTGAAGGAAACTTTTTCTCCGCCACTATAATCATCCTCGCTATAATCAGCGCCGTTTCTACCCTGCGCATAGCCTCGATCCGCTCCCCCTTCCCGCTTCCAAGCCGTCCGCTCGTCATAACCCCTTCCACCTCCCCCCCTTCCCCCCGCCCGTCCGCCTCCCCTGCTTCCCCCCCTACTCCCTCCGCCTCTTCCCCTACCGCCCGACCTCCCCCCTTCCCATCCCCGACCAGCATTCTCGGGGGGAGACCTTCGGGGGTTGTATCCCGGGCCATCGCTCCCGTCTCGTTCCCCGCGCGCGCCGAACCGCCCGCCACCGTTGGATCGCGACTGCTCGGAAAATCCTGGCCCTTCGTTCTGATTGGCAAGCGATTCGACCTTGTACAAAAGACGGTTCGCATTTGGCGTGGTTGCGGGGAAGGAATGTCCGGGGAATGCGGCGATCGAAGGGACCGAGGGGAATAAGTCAGTCTTGCGCAAGGCTCTACTATCAGAAATAGACTTGCAGGGGATCCTGCTGGGAAAAATGCCTAGAGGGGTTGTAGAGACCAGATTGGCCGCCATTGGGACGAAACGGCAGACGAGAATGAACGAGGGGAAATGAATTTGATGGGGTGTTTTGGGTTTGAGCGATGAGACTCGCCTCGCCAGTTATTCGTCTCAGTTGGATTCATTGTTAGATTCAGTTGTGACATGTCTACTATTTAGACGAGTTCTTCCTTATGTATCATGTACATGTGAAGAAGAGTTTCCTGAACATCAGGTCAACAGAAAATAGGGTTTCATGCACACGTGTGAGTGCACACAGAAACACCCCTCCCCCCCCCCACCCCAACCTCACACACACAGCACACACCATACCACACACACCATTCCACACACACAAACACACACACACACCCACACACACACACACCCACTCACACATACACACACACACGCACACCCGCATCCACCCCCCCCCTCCTCCCCCTGACATAAATTCTCTCAGTAGTTCCAGCTGCCGATTTCCAGTCAAACGGCACCAAGACATCCATCCTGGGCTCTCAACCAAGCAACATCTTTACTCGTTCAGACAAAAGAAAAACATTCAGACTCCAGACTCCAGAAACATGATACATTGAGGCCACGAGCGCATGGGCATGACATGTGCGAGGCAGGAACTATCTCAGCCATTGAAGTAAGGCGGTGGGTGGGTGGCAGAATCTAGTCGGACAGCAAGTTGCTTTTGTACGCACTCTTAGATTGGTATCAGATCTCAGTGAGACATTCCAGGTCAGGCCGCTGCAATAGTGATCGATCTCATCTACTCACGGCCCTGCAGAGGTACGACACGACGCACCTCGTTCCCATTCGTATTCTTGTAAGTCAGACAGAGATTGGTCTCAAGCTCGCGATGTCTGGTCCCAGTAAATTCAAAACCGAGGCTGAAATTCGGCAGCAAGAGGTTGATGAGATCCCAATAAGCTCGGCCGTGGCGGTGGAAGGTGGTCTCAGCTGCACATGCCATGCTCTGTTTCGCCAATTGGGGGCTGAATAGGCTGGGAAAGCGGGAGAGCCAGGCAAGGAGATCGCTTGCAGACGAGGAGTGGCACCAGCCAGCCTGTCGAGAAGAAGCTAAGGATGAGTTCAAAAACCTTGTCCAGTCACTCAATCGAAAGGCCGAATTATCCAATCTCCTAGTCCCGCGCCACCAGGAGGAATGATTGAAAAGAGGTGCGGAGGAGGTGAGGCTTCAGAAACAGGTCGCTGTGAAATCCAGGCAAGAGGACCAATGGTCATCCAAGAGGAGGCTGGCTTAGGGTGAAATGAGTTCCGAAGCTGTGGCTGCCGGACAAGATTGGAACCATTCAGCAGAACCTCCCGGATTCTCGGAAGCTTCCCTAAGTTCCCTGGCAGCCCAGGTAAGCATGGGAGATGCAAGAGTTCCAGGTGCGTCAGGTTCTTCATCTTTTCGCTGCCCAGGCCGTTGGGCATAGATTGGAGCTTCGGGCAGCCTGAAACTGACAGTCGCTCGAGTTGCGAGAGGAGAAGTAGTGTCCGTGGGATCTCCACGATGCAATTGCTTCCAGAAATGTCGAGATCTCTCAGCCCATTCATGTGCCCGATGTTCTCGGGCAGAGACTGAAGATTGTCACATCTTTGAATCACAAGACGAGTCAGTGTCTGCAGAGCTGTCAATGACTCGGGCAGCTGCTGAAATTTCCTGCACCCCACCAGCTCCAAAGTTCTCAGCCCGGGCAGCTGACCGAAAGTATCTGGCAAGGAGGCAAGCGCCGGACAGCCAATCAGGGAGAGGGTGTGGAGATTGGGGAGGAAGGAGAGGGAATCTGGAAGATATGTCAGAGAGAAGCATTGGTTGATACTCAGTGTCGCGAGGTTCACAAGGTTTCCCAGGGATAGTGGCAAATGCGGTAGACAGTAGAGACTAGATAGTTCTAATTGCCTTAGCGAGTGCAACTCGCCTAGATTCTCGGGCAGCAAAGGAATTCTGGAGGAGGAGACTTTTAAGGTGGTCAGAGATGGCAATTGGCAGAAATTCTCAGGCAGGTTGGCGAGAGTGTGGCAGTCAAGTGAAGCCAGACGGAGACTGGGCAGCTGCTGTGCGGAAATTTTCGGAAGGGAATGCAGCTTGCTGCATGATGACAGGGTCAGTTCTTGTAGCAAGGAGAAATCCCCTAGGGTTTCAGGAAGCCTTTCTAGCCCAGAAGATATAAGCTTGAGGGATTTGACAGACAGGAGAAGTCATTCGGTAAGGAACTGTAACCGTTAACGGAGAGTCGAAAATGGGAGAGCCGGTTTAAACGGAAAAGGGAAGTCGGAAACGAGATGGACGACCGGAGAGAGAGCGATACGTCATTCAATTTTGCACAAGCTTGGAAGAGAGAATCGAGGCCTGAAACTACATCGCAGGTAGTAGTAGGCAATCTGCTGCTGGTGGACAAGCTGGGTTGGGGAGATGATATCGAGGTTTTGATTTCGTCGAGGTAGAGGAAGGTGAGATTACTACTGAAGCAGCAGCAACCGAGCTCGCGGAAAAAACTGCAATCCGTGACGTCGACGCTACGCTTTGCGAGATGGAGACTCGTGAGATTAGGGAAGTGGGAGAGGGAGCGGAGGAGGTGCGATGCCGAGAGTCGTCGGCCTTCTGCCACGTGGACGGTGGTTTGCACGAGGCGTGAGACGCGCAGCCATCGCTTGCAGGCGAGCGCGTGGTAAAACTGACATGGATTGCGCGATGATACGAGGCGGAGAATAAGAGCTAGTATCTCGTCAGGGAGATTGTCTACATGGCCAAAAGAGATCGAGGATGTGGTTTCAGCCATGGCGTGTCAGTTTGCAAGCTTTGAGGAAAGCTCCGTAAAAAAATGGATTTTGAGTGTCTCATGATAAAACAACTGTTGTTTTGGTTCGTTGTGGTTGTGTGGATGCAAATCACACAGCTGTTGGATTGGAACGGGATGCGAATTTCGTCTGTGAGCGACGACTAGCGAATTGAGTGGCGACGTTCAAGTTGGGATTTCGCAAGACGGACGAAACATTTCGCAGGCTTCGCAATGCCCATGTGAATGTGCCTGCTAACATGTGCATGGAAATTGTGAGCATTGTCTTAGAATAAGGTACCTACAACAACTAAAAACAACATAGAATCAAAATAGAAACAAACCAACAAATGAGACTTAATCGCTGGGAGATGATGGACCGTTCAGCAGCCATTGCCACAGCTTGCGTGACCGTGTCAGTCCACCGCCATGGCTCACAGCGCGCCTCGGGGCTTCAGGGACCTGAGTAGACGACCGTCTTTGCTGAGACGCCCTGTCCTCGCTCCGGCTCCTCGGACGAATCAACAAGCCGTGCTTGTTCGTGCGGAACCCTGATGTCCGCGTTTTTACGGTGCTGTCCATGAGCGATTCCATGAGCCTCCCGCGAGAATCCACCATGGAACGTTCGAGCTGCTGAAGGAACTCCTCTTCCCATTGGCTCATCGGCTTCGCGGCGGCATCTGTTGCGGCGGTGGCCAACTGGTTAGGAGCGGCGACAGCACTGCTGCCAGCAGTATTCGCGGGGCTGTCGGAGAAAATACGCGCCGCCATGACGTCGCTCAGCTCCTTGCTCCAGCTCTGCAGCGAGTCGTCCTCCTCCTCCATGATCTCCGCCGAAGTCGCCTTTTCGTCGCAGGGAACCGCGGAAAAGGAACCGATGGACAGGACAGCCGGTGGCGGAATATTGTCGATTTTTTCTAACGATAAAATCATTCCAGAATGACTTCTTCCACCGGCGGGGCGTGGAGCGCCGTCCGCTGAAGTTTCCGTCGACATTTTCGCCATCGCCGGCAGCTGCGGGGAAGCATTCGTGACGACGGTATTGGGACGCGGGTGATGGATTAGGGAGAAGTAGCTGGGCGTGCGACAGCAGGTTTCGGGATTAGGGCAGCACGGGAAGGAGCAGCAACAAGAGTCGCCTCGAGCGGCTTTATGACAGCAAGCTTGTCGCGGAAGCGGTGACGACGTGTTTTGGAGCGTGTGGTGCGGGCGATGCGCGAACGACGGGGGGTGGTGAGCCGTGAGAGAACGTTCGGGTGACCACGCCATTGCGAGATGAGCGTGCCTTAGAAACAGAGGGTAGTACTACTATCAGTAACCTGAGGTTACTTCGCTGGATATGGAAAGTTGCAACCGTAGTAGGAATTTTATAGTTTGTAACAGCAGGCTTGCACAGCCGAACCGAGGCTGTCGACGAGATTAGGAAGTGGCAATAGCTGCATCGACCAACAGGCACATCAGTCAGAACTCGCTGTCTGAGATTCAAGAGGGGCGCAAGGTATTGTCAAAAGTCAGAGCTGCAGCTGGAGCAGCAAGAATGGCGGGTTTGACTGTATCTCGCCGGGTTGGATGGAAACAGATAAGGGTTGACCAGTGGTCTCAGGGGAGTGTGGCGTGGGGGCAAGGGATTGTCATCACGTCACATCAGAAGGGCTGCCTGCCTCCTTGTCCTCCAAATTCCAACTTTCCCAACCTAGGTTTTGGAACATGTAGGCCAGCCATCTGATTGCACTCGCTGTTTGGTGCTTCGCAAATTAGGAAGACTGTTCTGCTCCAAGAGCAGGTCCCCGCCTATTGCTCCCACGTGTCGGACCACATCCTCCGGTCACCACTCCCTCGATGTGTTTTCGAGAACCCGACCACATTGTTGTGAGCCGCGTTCACCGTGCCGAAAGGCCACTGTCTTCACACTGTTGACATGACACTGTGTACAAAACAATCCATACCCATTCCGCTGTCCTCATGAATGGGCACTGCACTTAAAGCTGCGGTCTACATACCTCCAGGGACGGGCCTTGGTTTATCACTTGAAAACCAGGTGAACCAAGTATCTGTCTGTGGAGAAACCATCGAGGCGGAAATAGGGAGGGGACTGGGGGTTCCCAAACCAACCGAGGCCGTGTTCGGTAGCAGGTGTTTGTTTTGCAACGGAACGGGAGGGGGAGGTGTTTAGTGGTTGCAATATTTTGTTGCGTTTGGTTCTGGATGTGACTCACAGAACCAACCCCCCGCGTCCCCGTTCCGTTAGTCTATCGAACAGGGCCCGAAACTTGACCTAGAACTTCCGCCCTTCGGCGCATTCATCCCCCAAACCGTCCCCCCTCACGAAAAAACAACATATTCGCTTGATTCTGTTTTCCCAACCCATCGTCCCTAGCGAAACTGAGTAGTTCCGCCAAGTCTTGTTGGCTGGGTCGCACGCACAGTTCAGGAAGAGAGCCTCTTCGCAAGCGAATCATAGTGTGTCAAAGGGTGTCCAATAGAAATACCCTCAAAAACACCCAGAAGTATGTAGACCGCAGCTTTAAGACCTCAAGTACTTTCGTATGAATCTGGATGCACACTCGTGTCAAGCCTTGACAAGGTATTTACACTCTCCGGGCTGCTTTGGCTGGGTGTTTGGTGAACATCCACTCAACCTTTACATCACAGCCATTTTGGTGTCCCTACCCTACAGCCGACTCAAGTTGCTGAGGCAAAACCCCCATCAATGTCGCCGCTGCTGCTTGGTTTGGTCAACCCTTTCCCAATCGCGAAGCATCTCCGAAAACTGATCTGAATTTTTGAATTTTGTCAAGGTTTTCAACACACTGAACTTTGACCGTACACATGATGCTCAACCTCTGCCCGCAAAGTTTCCTCTCCGTATCCCGATTCCCTGCCCACGAATAATTGGTGCTGGGTAGCTGCACGCTGTTTACACAAAAGCCCCCCGAGCATTCACCAAAAAGGCAGTTCGTCAAATTCGCAAATGTGGAACAAAACAGCCAATACAGTGATGATGAGCCAAATGTAACAAAGATGACCGAAGTACAACGATGTCTGCCAACCAACCTTCCTTGTTCCGCAAAAAACAAACGTGTAAGTCTTGAGTTTTTTACAAGCCCAATTTTGATAGCTACGACCTTGACGAAACCTTTCGCTGCGAAAGGTAGTACAAGAATGTGGTACACTAGTGACAATTCGGTATAACTGCGGGAATTGTGTGGTGGGATGGGAAGCGAGTCAAACATCTGAGAGGATGCAACAGAACTCAAAACTCGTGCTCGCTGGTACAGTTCACAAGTTTCGTCTTGTGCGGAAAAAAACTTTAGACTCGGAGTCGTGACTCCCGCCCGCCGTAACCTGGAGAATCGACGGTCGTTGGTGCACGCACCCACATACACCTTGACCAAATCGTCAAGTGAAGTGACACACGGTGAACCACCAACCAATACACCTAATGCTCGTTTGAGTCCCCCATGGTTGCCTTGGTCATTGGGCTTATAATTTGTTTTTTCTTTTCGCCCTGGTTCGCTAACTTTGCCGCACTCAGAATGGGCTTTTAAAAAGCACGGGTTGTTACGCGTTTGTTTTATGTAATCATGTGCAGGTCGGCGGGCCTTGTTGTTTGTGTAGTGACACGGTTACCACTTTCTTGTACCCTTAATGTAGCATGCAATTACACAAACTCTCCCAATTTGTCAAAAACATCCAACCCAACTGTCCAGCCAATATACTGCTGCCATCTGCCCCCATGCTACATTCGCACGGACATCAGACGCAACAACAAAAGCGCACAAGTCGTGCACGTTTGTTGTGGGGAGGAGATACCAACTCATCCAAGGGGTGTCACGCCCATTCACATGCGCATCCACTCAGCGGTGCCGAGATATCCGTCCATGACGACGGGGACACCGGCGTCCAGCAGCTCGCGGCGCCGTGCTTGGCTCACCCACGTCGGGGTGTGCTGCGTCATCCACGCAGGAAGCACGCGACCGCGCCGACGCGGTGTCTCGGCGTGCGGGGTGGCGCCATTCGGGATGACGGGAGGCGGGGTCATGTTCAAATTAATCGGCGGGCTTGCACGCGCGATCCGCTCGATTATGATCGGATTGCGGATGTTGAAAAGAGCGCACTGGTCGCGCGGAGTGATGTTCGTCGCCCGAGCATAGCCGATGAGCATCTCGCACGCCGCACGTGCATAGCGCCTTGCCTCGCGGCCCTCCGGGTTGCTATCCTCATAAACTGCTTGCATGGTGGTGGGGGCGTCCTACATCGCCACCGTGGAGGGCCCCGTCGGCTCGATCGCGCGGGTCCTCACCGGGTTCGGCGCAGGTCGACTGATGGTCGTCGATGGCGACGTACTCGGCCGCCGGCATAGCGCTAGGCCCGAGGCCGAGGCGGTCAATGAGGATCCCGACATCGCCTATCTCCTCGTCGAGATCGATGTCGGTGCCTCCGTTGCCGCCGTCGCCGCCATTGCCGCCAATGCCTCCCTCATCTCCCACGTGCGGGAGGTCCATCGCCCATGCACGAGGGAGGCAACAGGTGCACCACCAGCAACGCTGGATGGTGCAAACGCTGATGTGTTGGAGTAGGCTAGAGCTCGCTCTGGCATTTATCATGGTGTTCCTTTGTTATTTCGCCATGTTTAGAGCGAGTTACACTTCCGGTTCAGTTTAGGTTCATTTCTTAGTTTCTAGCACAAACTGAACACACCCTAAGTTCAATTAGGGTTTCCTACTTTTGTCTCTCGACACTTTTTCCTAATCAATCTCTTCAACCTATCTTGCTAGCCATGGCTGCCACTCTCATATTAACATGGTATCCAGAGCCTAATCTTTGGCGCTTTCTGCTTATCTACATCTCTTAGGACGCTTTAGACCTTACGCATCCGGGCCGCCACTTCACACTTAGTGTAGGTTTTCGTTTCTTACCATCTCGACCTTCGTTTATTCTTTCTCTTTCCCTCATTTTCAACTCGCGGACCCCTTATCCATCCCCCGCGGCCTCCCCACCCCGTCGCGCGCCTCGTCGCCTAGTCGCACGCCATTTCCCCTCGTCGCGTGCGCCCTGCCCTGCCTCGTCGTGCGCCCTGCCCTCCCGTCGTGCGTCCTGCCCTCCCGTCGCGCGCAAGAGCCCTGCCTCTGCCGTCGCGCGCGTGCCCTTTCCGCCGACGTCGCGCGCTCGCGCGCCTTGTCCGCCGCCGTCGCGCGCGTACGGCCTGCCCGCCGCCGTCACTCTCCCCGCCGCCCATTTTCTCCTTTCCGCGGTCGCCCTCCCTTCCCCCCCCCCCCCCTTTTTGCGGGCATCTTCCTCCCCCTTCGTAGTGCGCCGAACTCCTCCTCCCACCTCCCCCCTTCTCCTGCCTCCTTCGCACCACCTCCTCCCTCTCCGCTCATCACATCCGCCTCTTACACTCCTCCCCCTCTCTTCTCTCCTCCCTACCCTTCGTGCTCCTCCTCCCTTCCTCCACTCTCCTTTGTGCGTCAAGCACCACCCCACCTCTTCCTCCTCCTATTTTCTCTCCTTATCTACTACCCTTCCCCACCATCCGCCCCTTCACCCTCCTCCTCCTCTCTTCTCTCCCTTCATTCCCTTCCCCATCTCACTCTCTCCTCCGCCTCTCTCCTCTCGTCTACTGCTGCAGCCAGTTGCCGGCTTTGCTTCGTAATCTTGCTCATCAAGACCTACCCCTCCTCACCATCCGCCCCTTCACCCTCCTCCTCCTCTCTTCTCTCCTTTCATTCCCCTCTCCATCTCATTCTCTCCTCCGCCTCTCTCTCCTCTCCTCTACTGCTGCGGCTGGTTGCCGGCCCTGCTTCGTAGCTGTGCTCCTTCCCCACTGTGTTCCTCCTCCTCTTATTTCTCCCCTCAGCGGCACAGCAGCAGACTACTCCGCCATTATCCCTCCTCTTATTTCTCCCCTCAGCGGCGCAGCAGCGGACTACTCCGCCATTATCCCTCCTCCTCTTATTTCCCCCCTCAGCGGCGCAGCAGCAGACTACTCCGCCATTATCCCTCCTCCTCTTATTTCTCCCCTCAGCGGCGCAGCAGCAGACTACTCCGCCGTTATTCCTCCTCCTCTTATGTCTCCCCTCAACGGCTCAGCAGCTGACTACCTCGCCCCCATTCCTCCTCCTCTTTTATCTCCCCACATCTGCTCTATTGCTATCCCCTTCCCCAGAGAGGGCCTATTCTCACTCTTACTTCTCCCCCTCTGCGCTTCCGCCCTCACCTGTCTCCTACCGTACCTCCTCTCCTACCCTTGCCTTCCCTACTCTCCGCTCCTTTCGCTGCCCATTCCTCCCCTTGCACCTCTCCTACTTGCCGCTGGACCTCCCCTCTTCTCCGCCCCTCTGCTTGGATTCCGCTGTCCCATCAACGTCGCCGCTCTTGTGCCGTTGTCACCTCTGGTATTGGTTCTCTGGCCTCTGTCTTCAGTGTGACCATGCCATCTCAGGATAGCATCCTTGGTGCTTCTCCTCTTATGGACCCTCGTTTTGTTGTTCCACTTTCTCCATTCGTTCACAGCACTGTCTCTCACTCTCCCAGCCCTACGGCTGCCACTCTCTCACTTCCTCGCACCTTGGAGTTTGTCCTTGACTGTGCTGCTACTGACTCTGTCTTTCGTGATGCTGGTGTCCTTCGCAATTTTCCTCGTCCCCTCTGGGGCTGGGGAGACCATGACCATGATATGCACTGGCACTTCCTCTCTTCCCTGTCCTGCCTCTCCCTCTGGCGCTGTCACTGGCCTTTATGTTCCCTCTTGCCGTCATAACCTCCTCTCCCTCCCTGCCCTCCAACGCCTGGGTGTGTGAGCACTCTTCCCCGCAGGTGAACTCTATTGTGATCTTCATTACCGCGACCGGCACCTTGCTCGTTTCACCCTTTCTCCTATTACTCGCCTCTACACCCTTCGTGTTCCCCTCCCCTCATCTGTCCATCACATTTCTTCTTCTTCTTCTTCTTCTTCTTCTTCTTCTTCTTCTTCTTCTTCTTCTTCTTCTTCTTCTTCTTCTTCTTCTTCTTCTTCTTCTTCTTCTTCTTCTTCTTCTTCTTCTTCTTCTTCTTCTTCTTCTTCTTCTTCTTCTTCTTCTTCTTCTTCTTCTTCTTCTTCTTCTTCTTCTTCTTCTTCTTCTTCTTCTTCTTCTTCTTCTTCTTCTTCTTCTTCTTCTTCTTCTTCTTCTTCTTCTTCTTCTTCTTCTTCTTCTTCTTCTTCTTCTTCTTCTTCTTCTTCTTCTTCTTCTTCTTCTTCTTCTTCTTCTTCTTCTTCTTCTTCTTCTTCTTCTTCTTCTTCTTCTTCTTCTTCTTCTTCTTCTTCTTCTTCTTCTTCTTCTTCTTCTTCTTCTTCTTCTTCTTCTTCTTCTTCTTCTTCTTCTTCTTCTTCTTCTTCTTCTTCTTCTTCTTCTTCTTCTTCTTCTTCTTCTTCTTCTTCTTCTTCTTCTTCTTCTTCTTCTTCTTCTTCTTCTTCTTCTTCTGCCCCTCCCATCTCCTCTTGCGACTGTCGCTCTCTCACCCAACCTACCCTTCTTCTTCTTCATCGTCTTGGCCACCCCAACTTCCCTCTCCTTCGCAGCATGGTCACTTCGAAGCTGCTTCATGATCTCCCTCCCTCTCTCCCACCCCTTCCCCCCTCTCCCGCTCCTCCATGCACCCCTTGTGTTCAAGCCAAGCTATCTCAATCTCCTCATCCTTCTTCCCCTTCTGCCTCCCCCAAACCCCTTGATCTTGTGCATATGGACCTCTGGGGTCCCTCTCCCGTCAAGGTCATCGTTACTTTCTCCTTCTTGTCGATGACCACTCTCGCTTTGCCACTGTCTATCCCCTTCGTGCCAAATCTGACGCCCCCTCCCTCATCATTCGCTGGGCTGAGCAGGCACGCCTTCGCTTTGGCCGTCCTGTCGCACGCTTCCACTCTGATGGTGGTGGCGAGTTCTTTAACCACTCTCTCCTTTCTTACTGCTCCTCTCATGGCATTCGCCAAACCTCCACCCTTCCGCATTCTCCTGAACAGAATGGTGTTGCCGAGCGTCGTATTCGCACTCTCATGGAGATCTCCCGCTGTCTCCTTATTCATGCTTCTGCTCCATACTCACTTTGGAGCTACGCTCTTGTTCATGCCACTCTTCTTTCCAACCTTCGCCCCCATCCCCTTCGCCCTTCCATTACTCCCTTCCAGCTCTTGACTGGCCGCCAACCCTCCGCCCGCCCTCTTCTGGTGTGGGGCTGTGTCGCTCATGTCCTTATCAATCCCGCCGATCGAGCACGTCAGGGTGGGAAGCTCGCTCCCAAGACGCAGCTCTGTGCGTTCATTGGCATCAACGCTGACTGTCCTGGCTATCTTTTCTATGCTCCCTCCTCTCAGCAGCTCCTTCGCAGCCAGGATGTTATCTTTGACGAGAATCGTTCTCCATTCATCACTCCCCCTCCCACCCCTCCTCCTCCCTCTCTTCATTGGTCTGACTTTGATCTGCTGTCCTCTGCTGCTCCCTCTCTTTCTCCACTTCCTCCTCCCCCTGCTCCACCTCCCCTCCCTGCACCCTCCACTCCCCGCTCTGCTGTCATCTCTGGCACCTCTCCTCCTGCCTCTTCATCTTCTGCTCCCATGGCCCCTCCCTCATCACCTCCTTCTGCTACCCTCCCTTCTGCACCTGCCCCCCCACCCTCTCCACGTCTCACCCGCTCCATGACCCGTACACTCTGCTCTCTTTACTCGTCTCTCTCCCTCTCCAAACGTCGATCTTCTCGAGGATCGATTTGAAGAGTTGTTCTCTGTTCATCCCGTTTCACCCCTCCTCTGTGTCACCATTGGCGATTTCTCCAATTCTCCCACTCTTCTTTCCGTTGACACTGCCGCTATTCCCACCCCTCAGACCTATTCCGAGGCAGTGTCTGGCTTTCATGCAACTGAGTGGATGGCTGCCATCATTGCCGAGTGTGAGGCATTCACCCGACCTCAATCTTACATTGACTCTGTCCCCCCCCCTGGCGCCACCATTGTCAAGGGCAAATAGGTCTTTCGTGTCAAACAGCTGCCTGGGGAGCTCCCTATCTTCAAAGCCCGTTACTGCGCCAAGGGCTTCACTCAGCGTGAAGGCATTGACTACTTTGCCACTTACTCCCCCACAGCCCGTCTCCCCACTCTCCGCCTCCTTCTTGACTTAGGTGCTCGCTGGAATTGGGAGATCCATTTCATGGACGTTTCCAATGCTTTCCTTCAGGGCGAGCTGCATGAGCGCATATTCCTTGAGCGTCCTGCTGGCTTTCCTCGCCCTTTCCCTCCAGGCACTATTTGGGAATTAAAGCGACCTGTGTATGGCCTTAAACAGGCCGCGCGAGTGGCACGCCAAGCTCGCCTCCACTCTTCACTCTCTTGGCTTCTCTACCTCCACCTCCGACCCCAGTCTCTTCATTCGCACCTCCCCCCACAGGCTTTACATTCTTGCATACGTCGATGACTTGGTGCTCCTCGCTGAAGATTCTGCCGACCTTGCTGCTGTCAAGCAGGCCCTCCAGGCGCGTCTCCTCTGCAAGGATCTTGGCGAGCTTCGTCATTACCTCGGCATGGAGATCCGTCGTGATCGTGCTGCCCGCACCATTTCTCTCTCTCAAAGTTTCTACATCCACTCCATTCTTGAGCGTTTTAAGATGTCGCAGGCCAAGCCCGTTTCCACCCCTCTTCTCGCTAACCATCAGCTCACTGCCCCTGCCGTCCTTGCTCTGAGCTGCGGCCTAATCCTGAGCTCGTTGGGTCTCTTATGTATGCTATGATGTGCACTCGCCCCGACCTTGCTTACCCCCTCAGTGTTCTCTCTCGCTTTGTCGGTCTAGGCCGTCACACTGACGTGCACTGGGCGGCAGCCAAGCGTGTTCTCCGCTATCTCCGCGCTACCTCTGATCTTGCACTCACTCTTGGTGGCTCTTCTCCCCCCGTTCTTTCCGGTTACAGTGATTCCTCCTACGCTGATGCTCGCCCTGATCGCCGCTCCTCTCAGGGTTATGGTTTCACTCTTGGCAGTGGCCTCGTCAGCTGGCGCTCCACTCGTTCATCCTCTGTCTGTCTTTCCACATGCGAGGCTGAATTGTACGCAGGCACATTGGCGGCTCAGGAGGCTCGCTGACTCTCGTTTCTCCTTGCTGAACTTGGTCACTCTCAGCCCTCTGTGACGCTCTCCTGTGACAGTGCGAGCATGATTCACCTCACTGAAAACCCTGTCTATCACGCTCACAGCAAACACATTGAGGTCCGCTACTTCTTCGTGCGCGAGCTGGTGCAGTCTGGCTTCTTACGTCTTTGCAAGGTGGACGCTACTGCCAACCTTGCTGATATTTTCACCAAGGCCCTCCTACGTGCGCCACACCGTTTCTACGTGCGCGAGCTTGGGCTCGCGCGTCTCTCTACTTCTGGGGGTGTGCCGGTTCGCTAGGTGTTTTGCTCCAGAGATTCACCTAGCATGGGGGTGTGTTGTAGTAGGCTAGAGTTCGCTCTGGCATTTATCATGGTGTTCCTTTGTTATTTCGCCATGTTTAAAGCGAGTTACACTTCCGGTTCAGTTTAGGTTCATTTCTTAGTTTCTAGCACAAACTGAACACACCCTAAGTTCAATTAGGGTTTCCTACTTTTGTCTCTCGACACTTTTTCCTAATCAATCTCTTCAACCTATCTTGCTAGCCATGGCTACCACTCTCATATTAACATGATGCTCATCCACGCGTCCGACAACCAGTCCAGGACGTCGCGGAGGTTCGGCCTGAACTTCGCCGCCGCGGAGGTTGCGCCATCTTGGCCCCACAGGGCGGTGAACGCTCGGAGCCAGTGCTGGCGGTACCTCGCCTTGGTGGTGGCGATGAGCCCCTGGTCAAGGGGCTGGGTGAAGCACGTGGTGTTCGGCGGGGGGAACACCAGTCGAATGTTGCCAAGCGAGAGCGTCCGAAAGCCGAAAAGGTCTTCGGAAGTCGCTCCTTCGGTCTTGAGGACGTGGGAGCTTGCGTTGTCGAGGAGAATGACGATGTTCCGACCCTCCGCGTACATAGCGGCGTTCAGTTGCTCTATGAAGTGCTTGCTTAAATGGGGGGCATTTGTATGAAAAAAGACGAGTCATGTGCGTGCTTAAAATACAAATGGAAATACACATACAATGGAACATACAAGGAATGATTTAATTAGGAATGAAGGGGGATACAAGTAGGAAACCCTAAGTTGTGTCCCCTCTAAGGTGAGCCCCACTACAGCCTACAAAGTAGAAACATGTAATGTTTGACACACCCCCATAGGCAAAGTGGGGGAGAACAAGAGGTCACAAGACCAGTCAAGCAAAGCAAAGCAAGCTCAGGGTGGATCACGACGTCACCACGCAGTCTGAGCACAAGCAAGTGGCCACAAGGCCAGTTCACATGCAGAGTTATATAAAGGAGAAAAGCAATACAGTGATCACAACCTAGCAAGTGTAAGCATGCAGGTACATGAATAGAGATCACAGTACAAGCAGAGTCAAGAAGTAAGTAGGTGAGGCACAGTAGGCACAAGGCCTAGAACAGTACAGAAACGCTGATGATCACAAGGCTGAAGGGCCTTGGTGAAGACATCAGCAGTGTTGGCCTGAGTGGCCACGTAAGTAAGACGAAGCTGACCACGCTGCTGCAACTCTCGAGCAAGGAAGTAGCGCAGAGCGATGTGCTTCGTTCTGTGCTCCAGTGTGTGCTCCTGACACAAGGCAATCATGGCCTTGTTGTCGACGTACAGCACTGGAGGAGAACGAGGCGGCTCTCCAAGGTCGGTCAGCAGGTAGGTGAGCCAGCGTAACTCCTGTGCAGCCATGGCCCCTGCGTAGATCTCAGCCTCACAACTGGAGCTGAGAACAGAAGACGAGCGGGTAGACCGCCAAGAAACAGAGCCGGAGCCAAGGCTGAAGGTGTAACCCTGTGACGACCGCTGCGTAGTCAAGTCGTCAGCCCAAGAAGCGTCTGCGTGACCAGTGAGGACAACTGGACCTCGCCCTCCAAGCACGAGCCCCATGCCCGACGTACTACACAAGTAGCGCAACACCCTCTTAGCAGCATCCATGTGCTCCTTCCTGTGTCGGCCAGGAGCGACATAGCGTGCTAGGATGCTAAGAGGGTAGGCTAGGTCAGGTCGAGTGCAGGTCATCAGGTACATGAGGCAGCCCACAAGCTCTGGATACGGGCCACTCGGCTCGACGGACTCGTCCGAAGGTGGAGCTGAGTGGCCCGGTAGGCAGAGGAGTGGACTGTGGCGAGGAGTACGTGAAGCGGAAGCGCTGAAGGACCTGCTGCACCATGTGTGACTGAGTCAAGGTAATGGTGCGCTGTGCTCTGTCCCAGGTGATCCGCAAGCCAAGATAGCTTGTCAGCTCTCCTAGGTCTGTGCACGTATGTCTCTTCTGCAGCTCCGACTTCACGTGGGCGAGTGCCTCAGTACTAGCAGTAGCAAAGACCAAGTCGTCTACGTATACGAGAACGTAGAACGGCGGCAGCGTGGTGTCGGTGCGTAGAAACAGCGACGGGTCAGCAGTAGAAGGAGCAAACCCAAGAGCAGCAAGAGTCATCCTCAGTGTGTCGTGCCACTCACGGGGTGCCTGGCGGAGACCGTAGACTGGCCACCGGAGGCTCCACTGGGTACCAGGAGGAAACGACCCAGTGAAGCCAGGTGGGCGGCGCAGCCAGATCTCCTCGTGCAGGCTGCCCTGTAGGAAAGCAGTGCTGAAGTCAAGAGAGTGGAACTCGTAGTCACGCTGAGCGGCGACGTGCAGCAGAACCCGAAGAGTGGTCATCTTCGGGGTAGGGGAGAAGGTCTGGAAGAAGTCAAATCCCTCACGCTGACTGAAGCCTCGTGCAACGTAACGCGCCTTGAAGACAGGCGGAGAACCCGGCGGCCGCTTCACCCTGAAAATCCACATGCCACTGACGATGTTCGCCCCAGGCGGGGGAACCCCGTCGACGTAGGTGCCTGTGGACTTCCAAGAAGCCATCTCTGCGTCCATGGCTGACTGCCACTGAGAGGAGTAGGGACCCTCTATTGCCTCTGCGTAAGAGCGCGGGGTCGGGATGTCTGGTGCATCCGGGTCTCCCTCAGGGGCAATCAGCATGGACACGAGATGAGGTAAAGCAGCGGCAAAGCCCTCAAACTCCTACTGTCTGTCCTCAAGGACGTCCGTGCCAAGAGCACACTCACCCCCGACGGACGGAGGACAGACAGACTCAGACTCAGCAACAAGGCTAGCGGCGTAGTCTAGACGACAGGCGGCAGCAAAGTCAACAAGCTCAGCCACTAGAGCAGACGCAGCAGTGGACTCAAAGGAAGGGTCAGTGACAACAGTAGCGAGGAAACGCGTGACAGTAGGACTGGCAGCATGAAGGGAGTCAGACTCCGGGTCCGGACCGTCAGGAAGAGAGGACGCAGGAGGAGACGGCAGAGGGACACGCTGTGGAGCAGTGGAAGGACGCAGAGTCATATAGTGAGTGCCAGGGACAGAAGGAGGACGCTGACGCGGAACAGGACGACCAGTGCGGACAACGCGGATAGGCGACTCTGGACGAGACTCAGGCGACGCAGGACGAGACTCAGGCTCACGACGCTCTGTAAGACCTCTAGTCGGTCCAGAGTAAGGAGAAGGACCAAGCAGTGGAGAGGCTGGCTGTAACTGTGACTGCGACAGGACAGGCGGTGGACTCAGTAGGGGAGGAGTAGGACCAGTAGAAGGCGGGAGGCCAAGAACCTGCTGAAGGAGCGGAACGAAGTACGGCCGCGGCCGCGCAGCGCCTCCTGAACCAGCAGAGACAGCACCAACACCCTCAGCTCCAGGGTCTCCAGCGACAACTCCCGCAGCACCACCAGCTCCAACAGCTCCAGCACCTCCAGCTCCAACTCCCGCAGCAGCGTCAGTCCCAGCAGCTCCAGTACCTCCAGTACGAGCACCTCCAGGACCAGCGGCTCCAGTACCGCCAGCAGCTCCAACACCAGCAGGACCTCCAGCAGCGCCAGTACCTCCAGCAGCGCCAGTACCTCCAGCACTAGCACCTCCAGGACCAGCGGCTCCAGCAGCTCCAGCACCAGCAGCACCAGCACCAGCTGCACCTCCAGCAGCTCCAGCACCAGCAGCACCTCCAGCAGCTCCAGTACCAGCAGCACCTCCAGCAGCAGGCCCCCCAGCTCCAGCACCACGGCTACAGCGCCGAGCGTACCACTCACGAAGCTGCCGTGGAGAGAGGGGCTCCCGCCGCGACGGGACACTCGGAGGACCTCCAGTCTCAGCACCCCCAGACACACCACCCCCAGGCGCAGCACCCCCAGACTCAGCAACCCCAGGCTCAGCACCCCCAGGCTCAGCACCCCCAGACTCAGCAACCCCAGGCTCAGCACCCCCAGGCTCAGCACCCGCAGGCTCAGTACCCCTAGCAGCACCAGAGTCAACAGCTACTCAACAGGCTCGACTGCGTCTACTTGAGACACACCTGAGGGGGCAGGACCCTGAGGGGGGAGGGGGTCTACCGGAGGAGTACCTGGCGCGAGGAAGAGCGGCGGGGGGGGGAGGAGGGCAGTGCGGTAGGGGAAGAGACGGTAGTAAGGAACCGACTCGTCAAACGTGACGTCCTGAGAGGACAGAACACGGCGCGAGGTGGGGTGGTAAAACTGCCAACCAGGCGCGTCAGGGGGGAAGCCAAGGAAGACGCAGGTGTCAGAATCAGCAGCAGAAACAAGAATGAAGAAAGGAGGGTTTGCACTAGCAGCAATTGGCATACATATAGGAAATCCTAATTGGGTTGTACTCGCTATAGAGTACCCCACTGCAGGCTAGACAATAATAACATTCTGACACACCCCCATAGTCAAAGTGGGGTATAATCAGCACAGCAGGCAGTCGCAAAATAGTTCACAAGCACAAGCAAAGCTAAAAGGCAGTCACAGAGGGCAAGTGAGGAGGAGGAGTGACTGTGAGAGGAGAGTAGATTGGAGGCGACGGCTGAAGCTGCAGACGCACGGGCAACAGAAGCGGCTGGCACAGTGGCTACCGGAGCAAGGGCCATGGACTACTGGAGTAACAGACTCCGCGGCTACGACGAGCGGCAGGAGCTACGGATCCACGGGCGACTGGCGCAGCAGGCTCGCTGGGCTACCGAGAGCAAGGGCTCCGGACTACTGGCGCTGCTGGCGACACGACGGCTACCTCCGCGCAACCTCCCCCAACAGTCCCACGCCCCTTTCACACACCCCCTGCTGAAACCCTAGCTCCACTCCCACATCACCCCCCTAGCACCACTCCTTCGGCTCCCCACACACCCACCCCCCTGAGCGGCAGCTGCAGCAGCGAGAGACGGAGGAGGAGGAGGAGTAGGGGACGGCGCACACAACCGGCACCCCCACAACCGCCACCCCCACACTCCTCACCCCCAAACCCTAAAACGGGTGGCACGGGGTAGGAGCGCGGGGGACGGCGAGGGGGACTGCGCGCGGCCCCCAGGGCGCCACCACGGGGCAGCGAGGGGCCGCGCGCGGCTCCCCAGGGCGCCGCGACGGGGCAGCGGGGGGTCGCGCGCGGCGCCCCAGGGCGGCGCGACGGGGAATCGGGGGCCGGGCGCGGCTCCCCAGGGCGTCGCGACGTGACGACGCGAACGGGGGGGGGGACGCGCGGCTCCCGGGGCGCCTTTACAGGCGACGGGACGGGGGGGACGCGCGGCCCCCGTGACGCCGTGACGAGACGACGTGAAGGGGGGGGGACGCGCGGCCCCCGGGGCGCCTCAACGGGCGACGGGATGGGGGGGACGCGCGGCCCCCGTGACGCCACAACGGGCGACGGGAGAGGGCGCCGCAGGGGCCTCCCGGAGCACGGCGACGGGCGACGGGAGAGGGCGCCACAACGGGCGACGAAACCGCCGCGCGCGCCCGGGGCGCACGGCGGGCAGAAAACCGCCGCACGCCCCGAGCGCACGGCGGGATGAAAAACGCCGCACGCTCCGAGCGCGCAGCATGAAGAAAGGGTCACGCGCCCGGGGCGCGCGACAGCAGTAGAGCAG